TTTTTTCTATCATCAAAAATCCTATTCACTACGTTAAATCGAAAATTATGAAGTAACATAGAATTATAACGAACAATAAGTTATTTCAATTATATCACATGAAACTCATCAAACTTTAATCTTTGAAGTGTCATATAGTAAGGTAATCATCAGTTTTGATGTGTAATTTTAAATGTAAACTAGCAAAATCGAAGTAATTTACCATAAATATATTTAGTTTTAGACTTTAACCTCTCAATTCATGTAGATATAACCAGAGAAAATTGTTAAAATTAGTTTAATGTTGATCAAATAAAATTGTTGTTAAAATCTTATCGATTTATTTGATTAAAACATAAGGTACAAATATATATTTTTTCGAACAGATGAGTTGTGATTGTTATAAGAGTTCAATGTGCATGTTTCATTCCGTTCGGAACTCGTTGCCAGGGTGTTCTTTCATCCTAACATTAATGTTCACAATGGTATTTAAACATAGTACCTTTCACTTTGAACTCCAGTGAATTATTTATTCACTGAACTACTAAGTTCATTTAAATACCGTAAAGTACTGATTTACATTTATACCTTAAAATACTTAATATTTAAATAATGTAACTTACATTAATTGAACTCTGATGTTTACTGCATTTTATACCTATTTCGCAGTATAACCAGTGAGAATTGATAAGAAAATCACTTTACTAAAAAATCTAAGGTCATGGACAATAAACAAATGAAAAAAAAGTTATTTAAAGAGTAAAATAAATTTACATTTGAGTACTTATTACATGTTAGTTTTTTTTTATTTTGTGCACTTTATAATCATTCAACCATCTGTAAATAAATGAACTGATAAGGATATGTATGAATAGATTGATAATTGACACAACTAATTTTCGTTTTTCAGTGGAAAATTGTTTACTGTTGTGTAAATTTGTTTAACCACTGAATGTATATATATATATCTAAACTCAGTGGCTAGCTACTTTGATTTCTAGCACAATTATTTAGTGTAATTTCATTTATTTACTCAGCTTTGATCAGTATTTTAGTTATGTATATTTGAGGGTTAGCGAAACTATTTGGCTTCAAACCTGTGAAATATTTATTAACGACTGAACACAGTTCTGTCATTAAGCATCTATTTAACTTTCATCGAAATGTTTAGGTGAGATATAGATTAAACAGAACAAGTATTCTGATAAAATTGGCTACCAACACCTGAATTTCTCTCCAGCTACTTAGGATTGGGGGAGGGTTGGTAATAATAACAATTAAAGTATGTTCTACGAAACTGAGATAATGAACCTGTACTTGGTAAAGAATTGCGTGCACATTTTTAAAGTTTACTTGAGTAATGTTTATTCAACATGTTAAGTGACACAGCCTATAGCTCCAAATCAATATTTTTTATGATCGACGTATGTACAATAATGACCAGCAGTTTTTATATATTCGATTCATATTATTTCTCTGTATCTTCGTTTATAATTCACCTATTAAATCATCATTAAAATCCCATTAGCAACTAGTAAATCAGTGATTAGTATTAAAATGAGTTTCAGTGAATACTTCAAAGATACCACTGAGATCTTGATTTATGTTGAAAACAATGTATTACTTTCTATGACTTCACTATTAGTTACACGGATGAATCATAAGAGCAATAAAATGTTGATTGAAGAAATTCTACATTAACTTCTCCATTAAACTTTAATAATTACTAGTGTAATGAATTAGTGTGAAATACCATTCCATGGTTCGTATGACAAATTCTTCGGTATCCTTATATGTACATCTGACAAAAAACAATCCATGAAAAGTTCAAAATGTAATCCGGGATCTTAATGTCTATTTTAAGCTGATTTTGTAAAGTATTTTAGATAATTTTTTTTCTGTAAGTGATATTTACTACGGTTTAATCTTAGTTGGGGGTATCACAATAAACCAGAGAAAACTGGACATATTTCATATTAGTATGTGATTCAGCAGGGAACATCGAGGATCACACCAGGACCTTCAGATCCGAGGAACGAAATTTTTTAGTTTCACTAATTTACTTAATTCATTTATAGGTTTCAATCCTCGTTTAATATATAATTCGATTTTCACGGCATAGTGGTGTTCTTAGTCCTCAAAAACAAACAAATAGTATTGTAGCTTGAAGTTGAATATTTGGTAAATGAGTTACATTAAATTACAACACTGTTAGTAGAATATGCACTACACCATTCTTTATGAATAGTTAACTTTAGATGCTTCATTTAAGGAATATAATTTGGAGGGGAACCTTTAATACTCTCTATCTTTCGCAATCAGTAACTGTTTTCTATACTCATGTCCTCTATGCATTATGCATCGTTTTCAAAATATTGTCGATAATGTATTCTGTTGACCTTTTCAATTTTCTTGGTATTTGATAGAACTGTTAATTATTGCTGTTGTTAACGTCACAATCAAACAGAATAAACCCACTAAGAAATAAATATTGGAAAGAATGGTTCAATAAAGTATTATCTTTTTGTTCAATTCATTTTCAAAGCCATACAATCGCAAAGATAATCGGTAATACGTATGGTAAAACTCAAAATATGGTTATGAAGAGCTTGAATATTCCTCAGGAACAGAAAACATGTTGGACATAGAATAGTGACTGTAGAAAACGGGATGGAAAACATGATATGATTGAATAGAATGTAGTCGAAGAAAGAGACAGAATAACTCAGTCACATGTAGAAGGTGAATAGATAGAGAGAGGGGAGGGATTATGATTTTATAAAACCAGGCGTTAATACTGTGGTAGAAGACAAGTTCGAGTAAATTCCTAAAGTATACACGGTTCGAGTTTTTCTAGATGTTAATATATTGAAGGCTTCAGAAATGGTAGGAAAAAGGAAGCTTACTGTTTTCGGCGAATTTCTGTCATTCAACTTGTAGATAAATTTTTATTCTGAGTTTGTTTTGATCGATTGATTTATGTCAAATAACGGTGTGTCTTATGGATCTATTCACGTGTCATGTCACCTTTATTAAATGTTTTTGAATCCACTTGGAAAGAATTTACTAGTCCATACTTCTACTACTTAGTAGTTTCAAATTATTGACTATTTGAACTTGTTGAGTGAATGAATGTTCAAATGGGGAGCAATCAAAATGGATATATAAACTTAAATGTGACAGAAACATCAAAATTCACTATAGCATACATTATTCATGTTAAATGAGTTATCATTTGTATATATAAACATAATATCAGTGTTAATGTGAATAGTAATAGTTTCGAATTTATAATCTATTTACATGAATGATGTTTTATGTGAACAATGGCCTTCAGTTAATATAAGCTATGAATAAATTTGCATAGATATAAATCAATTGTTAGAAACATTGATGAATTAAAATGGTGTACATAAAATATTCAACATAGCGTAACACCAATGTAGTCATTCTCGAAAATATGGAGCACAGTACATTACAATACCATACTTTTTGATTTTTAATAGACCACTAAAAACTGTTGGATTGGGGTGCAAAAAATATTGTTCGGTAGCATTTTAAGTACAAATAGACTGGTTAACCAAGGGCATATACTTGGAGAAATTAAATGAGGTCATTATACATACCTCTAAAAGAAACGTTTGTTTGAAAGTCACAGCATTCACTTATTAGATGGATGGAAAAATAATTCAAAGTACTAGATATGCATGACATGGATTAAAAACTTTAGGAATTACCTCAGTCTCGTAAATTACAAAAAACTTCTGTTACTCGGTTTCATACCCCGAGTGTCATAGTTATGTATTTTATGTTTGAATTCATTTGAATTTTTTATGTCTTGATAATACAGAAAGATACTTGACTAGTTTTTTTAATGATCTGATTGATAAATTAGTATTTTTGTGAAGACTAATGATCGTTAATGTATACAGTAATTGTGTTTATGGGGATAAATAGTTTTAATATAATTAGGTCTCTTACATCATTGTTTGTTTGTTTGTTTGCACGTAACCATCAGATTAGAACTGTGTAAATAAAATAATTGAAGGGAATTTTTCACTACGAATTAATTCAAATTAGATAAAGATTAAAAAACTGGCCGGTTCTGTACTCATTTTTTTAAACATTAAAAACACATTTATAGCTCATAGTCTGGAAGTTTTATCATAATGAATTTCTATGTGTTTTTCATTGATTAATGAGTATACAATTTTGTGTAATGATGATGAATCCAACGTATTTTCACTGTGTTATGTTCCATAATCATGTAAAATAGAATCAGTTTGAACTAAAGTTTATTGATATCAATTTAGTTTACGTAAATATTTTACATCTTGTTTTTATTCTGGGCGCTTCGTGTCCAGTGATCAATATTTATCATGAAACAGATTCATAATGATATATATATATATATATATATATATATACATAAAGTCATTTTACTAGTAAATGTTAATAATATAAGTAAATAAATTACAAATGTGTTAGGTATGTAATAGTTCTGTGTATTACTAACTAACTAACTTGGATTAACTAAGAATTATTAATTTGCGATGTAATCAAAATCATTTGGATGATTTTCGTCATGGAGTAAACTAAGGTGGAGATTCATTATAAAATAGGTAGATAAAATAGATAAAAATGTTTCGTTCTAGTTTAAAGCTTCTTAATAGTCCTTACCTTCGACCACACCAAAGATCGTGTCTAGAACTCTCAAGTCTCGCGACGAGCATCTTACCTTTATACCACTGCGTCTAAATCTAATAGTCTGCAAGTTCAACTTTAGTCAACCAATAGCGCGACGATTATATGATGTCATCGACGACATCTTCATAACTAACAAAATGATCAAATTCTTTCAATCATAGCCTCTTATAAGGATTTCTGAAACCCAGCCAGAAACAAGTCACTAGTCAATACATAATAATTCTTCAGTTGATTGGTCCTTTGCAATATATTTATCAAATGATACTTTATATTATTCATTGTCCAATTTTTCTCACTTTATTTTGCATTGTTAGCTTATTATCAGTGGGTACCGTTTGTACTTGGCCTACAGTGCATATTATTTTATATTCCACATATTGCTTGGCAAGCTGCTTGCGCTTGTCGTTCTGGCGGTGATATGTTTTCATTAGTAAAATCAGCGGCAGATGCTGCCATATTATCTCGAGATGATCGTCAGAAAGCAGTAGCTCGTGTAGCGGAATTCATCGAGGACATGATTGGAACGCACAAAGAATGTCGGAGAGTAAGTTAATTTAGATATGTCTTACTGAGTATCAGATTTCCTATAGTAAAAGTTTATAAACCTATTTAAGAAATCTTTACATTTTTCATCGAACAAATAAAATGTTATGTTTATTTACGTAAAATAGATGGAATGTGACTAGCAGTGGAATCCAGGAAGTGCGTTCCATTCACTCTGAGACTCGTTCTGGATTTCACTGTTAGCCACATTCCATTTACTCTATATAAACTTATTTCATAAAAGTTTTATCAAGGGAATCCTATAGGATGCCCATATGTCAACCAAGACTGACCAAATTTTGACTGAAATAACAAAAACAGGATTATCCAAATCATTACAAAATGTATTGTGCTTATTGTTTGACTATTTGGTGATAAAATTAGTTTGCCATTGGGAATTGATTGTTTGAACTGAACTGCTAAATATATCCCTAAGTATGGGACTCGTTAGTAGGGCTCCACTGATCGAACCCGAGACCTTCAAATCTCATGACATAGGCTTAAAGTTCGGATCACTGGGTCAAAGTCCAGGGGTTGACATTTCTAATTTCAACCAATGTGCAATATTGCGCAATCATCTACCAACCGCATTAGTGAGTAATTGTCTCACATCTAATAGGTTTGAGCTCCATTAGTCACAAGTTTTTACAAGAGCCCCACCAGTTACCTATCGAAATTGGCCACTGAATGATCGCATCTGACGAGCCTAACACTAGGTCGAGACAATTATTCAGTTTTGTTTAACTGAGGTTAGTTTATGATATAAACAATAAAATCTAACTCTTTACAAACTCGCTATTATAATGAAAAAAGTTAAGATTTCCAACTATGATAAGGTCACTGCAATAAGATTGTCTTGTTTTATGCAAGCGTTAATATATATATATATATATATATATATATATATATATATATATATATATATATATATATATATATATACATTTGCTGAACCTTCACTTCCAAGAATAGTGAATTTGCAAGCACAGGAAGTATTAGTGACTCATTGACTACGAACCGTTGAGTTCAGTCGCCGACGAGTAGATCACTATTTCTCAACACACGATGATAGCTCCTTCTTTAAGACTAGTACAGGTCTTACAACCATATGCCATTACCCCATCAAACTAGAGTCTAAATAATGATACAGGCTATACAAATTCCAAAAACAATCATTCATGACTTATCCTAAAAAAATGATGGGTCAAATATTATCCTTAATACTAAAAACAAAAAAATACAGACCCGTACAAATATATTCATACCAATTGAACAAGCTGATGGCTATCTTGACTCAGTTACTCAGTGGATAACTCGGCGGAGTTGATAGTAAAATAGTATATGGTTTGTGTTTCAGTGTGAACGACAACACAATGATACATCTATTTTCAGCCGAAAAATGTCAAATAGAACTTGAATTTCACTGTCAACTCAAAATTCAACTCTACTATAACTTGTAACTAAAGGACAATATATATACGAAAGGAGACTAATGAAATATATTCCTTAATAATTAACAAGGCGAAACTTAATTCGTACATATATAATCATCCAATTTTTAATCGATTAGTTTCAGTTGTCAAAATAATAATACTGGTAATAATAATAATAATAATAATAATAATAATTATTATTATTATTATTATTATTATTATTATTATAACACCGCCGTAAACTGCACTTTTTAGTTTTACCGTATTCTAACCGTCTCTCTCTCTTTCTAAGGGTAAACGTGCTAAACTGACTAAAACAGCTGCTCAATTTGGTGGGATATTTGTAGCTAGTAAAAGACTCGGTACACACTTGATATGCTCTTATCTATGCGTAAAAATTGTTACAATTATTAATGCTGCATTACAACTATTTTTAATTCAACGATTTTTGGGCTTTTATTCAAATGGCAGTGCAAGTCGACGTAGTTTACAATTAGGCAAAGCGACTGATTTTAAAGCATGTAAGTTTGATAATGATTTTACTATTAATTAATAATAGTCATTATTTTAACTATTTACTATTAGATTTCATTGTGTAGGTCATCTACGTTCTTTATAATGGAGAATATTTGATTTATTCAACACAACATTGGACTTGGGTCTCTAGATCAATAGAATACGATACTTGAGCACATGATACCTTCGATTGAATTATTCAACAGTTGAACAAAAAACCAGAGGATAAAGACCAGAATAGTGTCGTACCAACACAGTAACAAGCAGTAAAATAATGGAGTCAAAGCAAAATAAGTGTAGAATCAGTTTTGGGATGGTATCTCATATTTAATGTAGTTGGATATATCTATCTCCGCTTATTAGCCAATCACTGATTACCTTGACTGACAAATTGTCCTGATTTTTCTTCAAAATATTAATTCATGTTATATGGTCATTATCAAGTAAACAAGCGATTACTAAATACTGGTATCAAAGTTTGATCAAATATTCTGGTAAAAGGCATAATATTTAAGTTGTAAGAAAAGAACAAATATTTTACTATTGAACATCATAAAATCACTGTTTGTGTGCATACTTTCAACAACGAATTACTACTGATTGAATTGGTGATTAATGAGCTATGTTATATGATTTTTATATAGTTTGATAGCGAAATCATTAAGAGCCTTCCACTACATAACTGAAGTACTTTATTTCGGGTATGACGCTAAAGGGAGGCCAAAAGAAGTTTTAAGAGTAGTGGCTTCAATCTTATTAGTGCGCATCAGTCAGGTATTTTTATAACGTTGTGATTAGTGAAGGTGCACTTCATTTGTGTTATATGTTACTTACAAACACATCATACCGACACAGACACTTCCAGTTGAAACGTAGATAATTATGAAGTAATGATATGTAGTATGTGTACATCAAGGTTTATAAAAAATGTTTAGGAGACGTGCACATAATGATTATTTTGTAACTTCAAGTTTTGTGCAATTATTCACTTTGTTAGGCTTTTGGATTTATGGCACTGGCGAAATTGAACACATCATTTTGCTAAATTGTTCAAAAATGTTTGAATAAACACTTTCGTGATGAAGACTGTATAGTTACTTCATTAGTTTGTTTATAAAAATGGTTAATGAATTGGAATTGAATGCGTCTTGTGAAGAGTAGTAGCAACTTTCTCAACTCTTTTAAGGAAATTCTATTTAACCACATATTGGTTAATAATTTTAGTTCACTGCACGACGTTTCACCTTTGTAAAACAACTAACCATTGAAAGTCAACGCATGTTTTTTTCTAGTATAGGACTTTTCAGAAATGTTCATCCACATGCTCTGTTCTTCAAGAATTGAACCTATGAACATGTTACATTTAGATCACTAAGTCGAAACTCAAGGATTCTCATTTCTAAATTCAATATTTAATGAAATGAATGTAATAATTTATATTTTTCATGACTTTCTTTTTTGTAAATTTCAGTAAATGATTTATCTTATTCAGACAATGAAAATGTTGAAGGTTATGGATTTGGTTTAACTGTTGTTAATCATATACGTGCTGGACGTGATTGGCCTGAAACTATGCTATTTCCACGTGTAGCATATTGTCGTGTACCGGGTATACGATTAGTTGGTGTAAAAAATTCATACACTGCACAATGTGCATTACCTATAAATATGTTAAATGAAAAAATTTATATATTTTTCTGGTTTTGGATTGTTTTCTTACTTATCACATGTATTCTTAGTTTGTTATTATGGCTTGCACGTATGATTTTAGCATCAAAACGTAAAGATTTCATCAAACGTTATCTTCGATTAAAAGGTGTTCATTCAATAAAAGGTGATGAGTTGAAAAGAAGTGATTTAGATGAATTTATTGATAAATATTTACGTGCTGATGGTGTATTCATAATTCGTATGTTAACTATTAATTCAGGTGATGTTATTACAGGAGAAATTGTCACTGAACTATATAATAACTTCATTAATCATTATAATGATACACATTCAATAGACAAAGAACAAGATTTAATGAAACCAGGAAAAATTGGTTTTAATAATCTTGTTTAATTTTTCTTTTAATCTATGTGAATATGGTGTATCAAGTTAGTTTATTAAAACAATAAGGAATATGTCAAATAAACAACGATAACAAAAATAATGTTCATTTAAAACAATACTGAACTAGAAGAAATTCAAATTGTTTGTGATTAGCAACAACAACAATAAGAACATCCATATTTTGATTTTTAATTTTTTCACTTGTTTCTCTTTTTCTTATTAAGAACAAAATATAGATTATTTTCTGAAAAATAAAAAAAAAATCAAGCCTGTTTAACGTTAGTACTAGACATTTTATTAAAGTGTTAGGTATTATTGTCATTATTATTATTATTATCACTATTATTATTATTATTATTATTATTATTATTATTATTATTATTATTATTATTATTATTATTATTATTATTACTATGAATACGATCATTACTATTGTTATTTGAAATTGTCTGCTAATTAGCTGTGAATTTTTCTGATATTTTTTATATTTTTCTATACAATAAATTACTAAAATTAGCACCTTAAATATTTATGTGCGTATATGTTGTTTTTTTCTTTAATGATAAATTCTTTAATATAATACATCAGATTAGTACAATCAAATCTTGTATGCACATTCATTTCGGTAAATAACGTTAAAGTAATCAATATTCCATAGTTTTCATCATGAACTCATATGAGTTAGATGAATATTAAAGGACAGGGTGCATTGAGAGGTGCATTCAACAGTGCTCATCCACTATCCCATCGACGATCGGATCTAGAAACTATTGTTTGGCAAAGCGACTTTATTTAATCATATATCTGAGCCATATAGTCTAAAAGGATTAAATTTTAGGGGAGTGCTAGCTAGTGTAGTGAAAGGTTAAGAGACGTGTTGTTCTGAAGCTATCTCTGTCGTGTAGCAATTTATGTTGGGAGCTAGATCCAGAAATATTGTAAAACATAAACTGTCAGTAGTTAACTTATCAGTGGTTAGGGTTTATTTAGGTATAAGGTAACATAAACGTCTTTAGCATGTCGAACACTCTTTTTGAATTCACTGACAACGACTATGGGGATCAGGACACTAATACAACTTCGGCAGTTGATTGTTTTGCTCTTTGACGTGACTTAGACACTATGTTTCGTTAACACCGATTGAGGCTTGTGGTTCCAATTAGCTATTCGTAAGCATATTGCCACAAATCCTGTTCTTCTAGAAATTCTAGTAGATCAAAGAAAACAAATCTGAATAATTCTTCAAGATGCCCACAACATCTGTCCATTCAAGCTGGAATACTCAAGTTAAACTGTGTATTATACATTTTAAGTCAGTGGAAAAGTGCAGGTCAGTACCACGCTTCATTTATGACAGTAATTTTGCAATTAATCGTCTTTTTTATAAGATTTTTCACTCTCACCTCTTCTGGATGCAGAGGTGAGACGGTAAATAAATCCGATAAAAATATTTCAAGTACATCAGTAGAGGAAACCCGAAATATGAAAGCGAAACATCCAGTATCTTAGTGTAGATTTCCACTTCAGAAAATAATAACAATGATTCACTGCATTCTTAGTTAATCGTTTGTTATAATCACTAACACTGGCCACAAAATACATTTTAAATCTCTTCATAAAGTTCCAAAATTTGATAGACATTCCATCAATTTTGGCCAATCCGATCATTGGCAATCCAACAACTAGAACGGGATTATAAATTAAAATACAATCATAAGCTGTGTCTAAATGTCTACTGGTATATTAATTAGGCAATCAAGGCAGGCTCAACTCCACTTTTGGTTTAAGGTCCAACCAGAATCAAAATAAACAATTTGTTTATGAAACGATAATATTATTGATGGTAACACAAGTAATGTATTTCGAAAACCTCAATTCATGGGATATCTAAGGCATTTACACGCTGCTAAAGGAAAATTGCCCTCCATTGTAGTTATATAAGAACTACTTACAAAGATATGCGATAAATTACGCAATAACAAGTAGCTGCATTAATCCAAGAGTAAGAGCCAACAAATCAGAGTGGGCATTACACACAAAAATGTAAGAATTATTACGAAAAAACAAGTGTTCAATGAGCAGATATACAATGGAGATAACCTGTTAAGAATGTTTACGGAAAATTGAAATAATAAATAAATTAAATGAAATAGATTCATGTAGATACTTAGAAGTATAGCTCAAAATAATGAAAATAAAGTTGTCGATGCACAAATTATTGACAATGACATAAGTTACTGAATATTAGTAAGTAATATAATCAATATACGAAAAGAATAAGCCTGGAATGAAGGTAGGAAGATCAAACAGAATAAACAGTAAGTATAAATTACATCACATAGTCAAGTACATTCTATAAGACATTGTGATGGCATCAGTATTGATTGTCAAAAATACCCCTTGCTTTTCCTTAACATCAATGAGAATGTCTTTTATCCAGAGTTACTTTGTTATGATTAATATAAAAATATTTGCAAGCATAACAATTCATATAGGTCATTTCACAACAAAAGTAAGCATATAGAATAGTCAAAGCCGTGATATATTCTACTAGTCATCTGTTTTGATGCTCGCGTTAAAGTATTTCAGAGCTCGTTTCGTCCAAGATGTTGTATTCCACATTGCTTTTTTATTATTTCAAACAATCTAGATAATTCCATCGGAATATTTAAATCATTTTGTTTATTAAAAATCAAACCTCATAAGAGTTATCACTTTCATTGAGGCAAATTTTGACAAAACGTGAATATATTTAGCTGATACTTAATTACTAAACTCCTTTCAGTACAAACGAGTAAATAACATGACATTCATTACTGATCAGTGATCAGTAGTTTACAACTATTACTTACTTACGCCTGTTAACCCTCGTAGAGGAGCAAAGGCCACCCACAATGACAGCTGATACAAGTCACAACAAAATATTACTGATGAAATAAACAAAAATGCCAAAAAATGCCTCCCATTTCACTCTATTCAATTAGTAACCGCTGATTTAAGTTTTCAGCGAAATTCTGTACTTCAATAACATCAAGTCAGAGCATAATATTATGTCAAAACAATACACTGTTTTCACTTTTAGCATAAATACTCAATTTCAATTTGCAGTATTCACAAAACATCTCGTTAGAATTTAGTTAGACCATTTTCATTGGATGCTATGTCTACAAAAACTGTCTTCGAGTTAATGAATTTATTCAGCTTGACATACCATATTTCTAAGTGTCATTAGCAGTAAAATAAATGAAAATAATTGGACGCTGATTATTTGTTTTCTCTAGGTTGAAAATCATAGTAAATATCGTGAGGCCATTTATAAGTTTCAGAAGTCAATCCATAAACTTAGTGATCAAATCGTTCATTAGTATTCTGATCCTTGTTTTGATAAATCAAAGTTGTTTTGGTATTATGGATGAAGTAATTTACTGACAATTATAATTTCATAGTTACGTTAATTTATATGCGAAACTGAAAAGAAGATAGAATGAGATCACATGAATGTTGGGTATCAAAAGTATATCTTTTTAAAGACCAACTTTTCCATCATCTTAGTTTTCTGGTTAAATTTCATGTTGTTGGTCTGAAGCAATTCCAAAGCATAACATTCATTCATAAAGCAAGTAAATCACAAGCTACTATGTTTATCGTGATTCAATAGGTGCTTACCGGTTAAAGCGCTGTCGAAATGTTTAGTAGCAGACTATTTATGTATTAATTGTCCTTTCAAGTTGTTCTTTTAGGGTGTGACCTGATATTTTTTACAAATTAATCATCGATTACGGTTGTATTATGACAGTTTGTTCTTTTTAATTGAAAAATGCGTCACGTGCATGATGTTTTTAACAAATCATAATGAATCAGTGCAATAGATTTTGATAATTTAACCATCTCGTATCGAATTATCGAGAAAAAAAACAATTGGTTTTTGATAATTTGTCATCAAGCTTTGCATTTCACACTTTATTATGCCGAAATTCCGATTCATATATTCAAGATATAGGGGAATAAAACTAAGAAATATCTTGTTCCACCTCACTTCTCTTGATGAGAATACAGTAATGTAATTATACTAATAATAAATTTAGTACAAAGTACACTGTATTATATGATTTAACAAGATTATTATTATTATCAATTGTTCGTGTTATAATAGAACAAATATTGAATAAACATCGTAGTTTTTCCAAGACAATCACAAAGGCAATGACTAGAGATGAAGGTTGATTATATGGCGAATAAAAATCAGAACTTGTTTTAACTAGTAAATATCAGTAATTTACTGGATCAGATGATTTATCTTTACAAATAGTTTATGAAAATATTGTGACTAATTAATGAAGTAGTAAGGATGATGACGGATATATTATAAATGACTTGAAGATTTTACATTTGACAGTTAATCAGAAATTCAATTGAATCCTCTTTATTTATTTGATATCGGTTGATATTTAAATAAAATAACTTGGAAACGGTCTAGTCAAAAGTTATGGAATCCATTCTGAACATTTGTTAGTATTGGTACTAAGAGATATGTTAGCAGTAAGATTAATTAAGAAATCGATGTAAATCCTCACATATATGTGTAGTACGAATTGATGGAGATAGTCCGTTTAATCACTGCTTCTTATTTATAGTTACTCATGGTAGACCGATCAAATTGGAGCGGATAATTGTTGTGATAATTAAATTGACTTGTTGGTGTACAAAATTATCATTCTACATTGTTACAGTGCTTCAAACTGGGAGCTTTTCGTTGATTATCCGACTGATATCGATTTGTGTTGAAGACCAATCCAACCGTGATTAGTCTACACCAACACTCTTACCATGAGTATAGAAAACTAAAAAACGAAAATAGGACTGGTTGTTGAAAGACTATGATATGAATTTTTAAATAAGTTATTGAAGATTATTGTGATTGAGAGTTGTTCATGGGTGATAATAGTCGTTAAGAAACAAATAAGTGTTTTGGATTCCAATCTGTCGTGTTCTGATTTTTTTGAAGTGACGGTGATAATATTTGCTGCAATAGACGAATGGACAGGACTGAAACATTAATCGACAGTAGAAAAGTATAACGGAATGTAAAGTCATGTCCATTGAAGGCTACTGTGCAAACAGTTTCTGTACACATCTACTTTCAGGTTGTGGTGGATTTTAACGCGTATATTCAACTGGACTATTCAGTGAATCCATAATTCTAATTCTTCTACTCTCAGTAATATCAATGATTGTAATCTAGATTTCGTTACAAAGTGACAGAATATTTCAACCATACATAAGTATGAGCTAATCACATTCACTGGTTAGTTTGCTGTTATTGCTTAACAAACGTATGTTGATGTTTGAGTAAGATTTGGTACAGAAAATTGTTTAATCATCATTTGATATGTTTAGCTTGTAGAAATGGTGGCAAAAGTGGAATACATAAACACCTGGACATATTAACACTTTCTGAAGGAAGTTGGTTATCCACATGACTGATTGATTACCTGTGAATTCAGTAGTAAAAAAATCGATGCAATCAATTGAACGAATTTTTCACTTACTTCATATTTTTGCAAGTCCACTGAAAGAAACGTATTTATAAACAGCACAAGTGACTGTGAAAATGTTTGTTGGAGCAATGTTGCTGAAATATTTGAAAACATTGGAGCGTAAGACTGTCGAATTTTTAGTGTGAACGTGTTGCATTACTAATTTAGAGTGTTAACAACACGGTAAGTGGTTGGAAGTAGTCCATCCTTTGTACTGGTGCTTCCTTTGGTCTATCACCACTTTGCATGTTGAAAGGGTTGTTTCTCGATCTCTGTTGAAGTTAGCAATTTTCCTCACTTTCTCCACCTAATAGGTCTCACTTATTCCAATCTGTTTCAGGTTGTATCTCGTCGTTTTTGTGGCTATTTAGAGCATTTCTTCAGTCTTGCATGTTGTTCGAGCATTCCATATTCCCATTAATTTTTGTCTTGTGACTTCTGGAGTCTCCTGGTTTTTGTGGTGAAGTGTCATAATGTTTCTACACACTGACGCTTCAACTCACGGGGCGGATTTTTATCAGAATTCTTTGGCCGTCATTTCTTCGCCAGAGTTTGCTTTACGAAGTGGGATCGCTAGCCGTACACTCCACCCTCCTCATTAACTGGCGTTATGACCGAGACTTTCTCCTGAGTGGTAGAAGTCAGGAAATTGTCATAGTTACTAACAATAATATCAAACATCCATGTTGTATATAACGAGTGGAGATTTCTTTGTGATGTCTGTATCAGGTTGATGTTGTGGGAAACACACTTTCTTACAACATTATTCGGTTATTGCCATATCTAGAAGTTCGCAACAGGATCAGGGACGCCTGTTATGCTCTTCGGGGTCAGATCGTTATGTGACCAACTTCAGTTGAGTGTTATTGTTTCATCTAATTTATAAATTGGAATAGTGTTTATCAGTGTTTTCTCTTGTTTGAAACTCATCATGTAGATGTATTTTCATTTCATTTTTGTTGTTAACAATGAGACCCACAGCTTGAGGCATCAACCGATTAACCATTGAGCTACTGATTTTAAGTAGATGTTAATTTATTCAACGATCATGAAGTCAATTTTAACGTGGAAATAGAAATACTAAAAATAACTTTATACCCGTTAAACAAGTTGGTGTTTGCGCAGACTGAGCAGCTCGGTGGATGATTTGTTGGTGTTTCAGTGACTTGTTCTGGGTTTGAGTCTCAGTGTAAAGGTCAATACTGAGATGAGCATTTAAACATTTGACGAGTGCAAAATAGTCAAAGAATGTTTGTTTCATATTTCATTGGTAACTATAATTCCAACTTTACCAAAGTTTTTGACTAGATGGCAATACCGAGGCAATCCATGTAGAATGCGTCTACATCGACAGAGACTGATCAATTACATTATTAAGATCGACCACGGAAAATTACACACTGCTACTAATATATTTCCATATAGAAATGAATCATCCAATTAGTGCTAATCTCTAAAATAAATAAGAATTCTTTGTTTTAAATTCAACACAGTTATTTTACAAACTTCTGATAAGCAAAAATAGATTCGTATGAAAAATGATATATTAGAATGGAATGTTTTAGAATTAACTTAGTAAACAAAAGTTCTCATCACAAGTTGGAATATGAAAAGAGACTTTGTGAATAAAAGCTAATAAGAAAGTATGTTCCTTTCAATGATCTATTCGTAAATTATTTTCTAGTCAGTAGAGTAATATCGTTGTTCTATTGAGAAAAAAGTATCATATAAAACATGATATTTGATATTGAAACATGATCCAATTAGTGTGTTTGAGCAAAATAGTGATTTTGTTTTGAATTAAACTTTGATTATTCTATTTCTTGATCGAATTTTTATATGTGATATTAAAAGTTCCCGTTCAGCACTGGTAACAAACGCTGCCATTGCTGCATTGTAATTGGCGATATTCAATTGACTAGGTGCTATGCCTAATTCTTCAATGCAATATTTCGCTTCTTGTAAATTCCATCTTTCTGTCAATGTTGGATCATCGGTGTTAATGGAGAAGTTAAGTTTATCGGCAATGAAACGATGTACAGGATGATTGTTTGGATTTCGACCGTCAACGGAACCAGTTACGAAACTTGACGATGGGCACACCTAAATTATAAATAAATACTTTACTTAAAATAAGAAACATTGATTTAATGAAGAGTTCTCTTTTCGGCAAATTCATTTGTCAAAACCGTACATTCGGAAGTATATACTTATTTTCCAAAGTGATAATAATTGCAATCATAGTGATAATAAAATTCTACTAAACGTGATAGCAGTGAAGTAGAACAGACAAAGGGATGCCAAAATTATTGTTAGTTTACTTAATAAAAATTATGTTTTCATGAGTTTTTTCATTTTACCTGACTGTTATCATGTTTAATAGTTTTTTATTTTTATTATTGTAATGCTTATGATTTTGTAAATTACGCACATATTTCTGATTTAAGAGGTTTGAAAATGAATTCGCCGATAGGAGAACTCTTCACTGCACCTATCTCTTTAATTTATGTGTCAATGGGTACATCTGTTTCCTTAAAAAATAATTTACTTTTAGTATTACTGATAATAATTATTATTGTTATTGAGTAATGCGAGTTTTCGAGATCGTTTATAAAACTACGAAACAATCTCAGATTTATATAAGCTATAAAGTTCTCTTAAAATGAAGTAATCCATCATCCCTTAATTAACTGATAAGGGACCTCCAAGCTTAGCGAAAGAACATACTATTATGTGGTAATCGAACGACAACTAACTCCAAAACTGCCATTTTGTCATAAGTCCTCAAGACCATCGTTGCTACTGTACATAGAGGACTATTACATTGCATTATTGATTTCTTTTGATAATATCAGAGCTTTTCTGAAAGTTCGGTCTTTTCTTCACGCTATTTACTGGTGGGTTATAAACACTGAATCGGTTTTATATATTGTCGTCCTATCTATCTGGCTTCCAAAATCACATTTTGTATTAGGAGGATCTCTCAATCGTTCGTAACTTTAAATAATCAAAATAATTCGCAAACTATAGCAAACATTAACTATTATCTATGAAACACTCAGATAAGTCTAGTATGCTTTGGGATCAATTCAACTAATCTGTTGACCTGGTTTATTTTGAGCGAATTAACAAGTCTTCATTTAACATAAAAACGGCATCGATGGCAATGATTCTGAAAAAGATTATTAGTTGATAATTTTGTTGAGATTGGTTAGAAATAAAGTTGGGTTTCGTATAGAAATGATAGAAAGTGAGGAGGTATTTGAAACCAAAGTGTATTGAGTTTTTTTCATTCTAGTATGGAATTCCTAAGAAATGAGAAATTGTGAACCATTGGAGTTCAACTATATCGGGAGTGAATGATTCACATAGTAATGTCATTGGTTGATATATCGTTATATTGCTAAATGATTGAGGCTGGAAATCCTAATCATTTTATTAGGGGCTAAGTAGTTTGAGGATGATGCGCTTGCCATGAGACCTAAACGTTTTTGGTTCAGTCTCAGAAAAGATTGTCCTCTTCAAATTATTTAAAAGTCTGGGACTAGGACAAAAGAACTGCCTAGTTCTCTTTCCGTTTTTTGATAGCATTCTAACTTCAATTTATCTATGATAAAGGCGATATCAAAGTTTAATTAATCTTCACAAATAACTAAATGATTTTATGAGAAAGTTTAAGCAGTACTCGTTATCTTGATATTTCTGTTGACAACTTTAGTTTCATTGATTACACAATTGTTGTGCTAACGAATCGGAAAATAGCTCATTTAACAACTAAATATTTAAAGAAAACTCATTGAGATAAACAGATTTTGTGATGATATGAAATTTTAATCAAAATCTATCAGTCTCAAACTACACTACGAAACATTCTATGAGCAGTATAATCCATCCATCAACATGATGTGCTACAATTAATGTGAAAATAAATATTTCAGTTAAGAGCTGTGAAGATTGTTGAATTTCATTGAAATCACGAAAGCAATGGACACGGACCACGACATTCGGGCTTGAGCTCGAAGGTTTGGGTTTGATTCCTGTGTGTGATGTCGTGGATATGCACTGCTGAGGGTTCCAACACTAGGACAAAACGGCTGTCCAGTGCTCCTAGGTTTTCAGTGGTTATAAACTTAGATCGGTTCATGACTTCCGTGAAGAAAAATGTTTTTCTCTTTGGAAAAAAAGACAAAAAATGTGTTGTATATTATTGTTTATTCTTACCTCAAAGTGTACACCGGTTTCAAGTAAAGACTTATATGCATTTTCATCATCCAAGATGTGATATCCATGGCCAATACGTTCAGCATGTAAATTATTCACTGCCTCATAGACGCTACTTGCTGGACTGTTTTCACCAACATGTACAGTACGATGAATATTAGCTTTTTTAGCATTTTCAAATGTTTTAACAATTTCTTCAGGGACACGTTGAAGTTTCAAAACTGAATCATCACCTATGATACAAAGAACAATTGATAATGATAGTAATTATAAAATAATAATGATAAATATGAATTATTATAACCAAAGTTCTATCTTAATTATTTTGAGTAGAGCAACAATGGAGATTTGAGTAGAATAATATGGATTCGTGTGATTACGTTAAGTCCTTGTTAATTAATTCTGTAAGTAAATTAGAATATTTTAAGATTAGAATTATGCATACAAGTTATATCATATTAGCCTACAGGTGAAATCCGTTAGAAGTAATTATTTCTTTTATCGTGTTAGAGTGAAAATTCCAATCAAGTTATTGAGATTTGAAATGTTATAAATAAATACAATATGGAAGAGAATATTCTATAACATCGAATATCCAATTATGTAATCTACTGAATTTTCAGCTCTATGGCCTTCAGTTAACATTCCAATATTCTAGAATCTTATACATTGTATTTATTTGTAACATTTATTTCAAATCTCAATAACTTGATTGAAATCTTCACTCTAACACGATAAAAGCAAAGTACTCTTCTAACGAATTTTACCTGTAGGTAAGTATGATACAACTTGTATGCATAATTTTAAACTTAATATATTCTACTTTGCTTACAGAATTAATTAACGAGAACTTAACATAATCACACGAATCCATATTATTCTGCTGAAATATCCATTGTTGTTCTCGCCTTAAAAGAGAATTATTTAGAATAGTTTAAAAGAGGAAAACAATACTTAAACTATATAGACATATTTCAGTTTAAACGAGTCGGATCCGTATGATAAACTAAATAGTTTACTAGACTCATATTAAATAGATTCTCATCTAATTATCTCCATTATTAGACTATTGGTCATTAATCAGAGGACTATCTGATAAAAGATTAACACCTCAGAAAGTGTAACAACAATATAAGTTAATTCAATTAGTACCGTAAATGTTGAACACCGATGACTGTCGACTATTCTACTGTGTGCTTAAACACAACTGTATACAATCTGGCAAAACTATAAAATACTTCAGATAAGGAAATTTCGTCGAGATACTGAAGCCTAACTTTATATTCGAGTTTTTGTCTTTCTAACTAAATAAACGATAAATGAAATGCTTCTGTAGGTCAAAGTAGATGGTACTTGTTTTTTGAGAATTTGTCAGATTCACAAGAAGAAATACTCCTGTTATGCATTTTATTCACACGATTTTACTTCGTTACGCCCGTCACCCCTCATGGAGGAGCATAAGTCGCCCCCAGTATTCTCTATTCAACCATGTCCCGGGAAATCCTTTCCAGTTGCCATTGATTCTTTTCATGTCTGCTTGCAATTCCCGACGCATTGTGTTCTTCGGTCTTCCTCTTTTTCGTTTCCCTTCAAGATTCCAAGTTAGTGCTTGCCTCATGATGCAGTTTGATGCATTCCACAGAGTACGTCTTATTCACTTCCATCGTCTTTTCCTAATTTTCTCTTCAGCTGGAAGTTGGTTTGTTCATACGATTTAGTTTATCATTATTATAACTTGAACCTTCACAACGAAGCATTCCAACCCTTAATAAATGAACTAACTTACAAATGACACTATTTTGAAGTATTTATACCGTGACAGATGCCAAAGTTCATCATTTTTAACACATAACATTGTTTTTGATGGAGTTTTGTTCTCTGAGCTGGATGGTTTGGTCGTTGAGCTTTCATCGTTCTTCTGAACGACATCATCAGCTCAAACTTCAGATAGAAGTGAAATTTATGCTGATAATGTCGTTCAGAAGAACGATGAAAGCTCCACGACCAAACCATCCAGCTCAGAGAACAAAACTCCATCAAAATCATCAACCTGAGCTACAAATATTCTCCACCATCTCATATAACATTGTCAAATCCATTAATGAATACTTTATTTTGGCCTTTGTAAAATACCACAATAATTATGTATGATGAAGCTATTGAAAACGATTGTTCGCTCATATATTACTCGTTTTTGAGTATTCTATGGGGAATTTATTTGTAAAAGTTCTAATTTAGTCTATTTTAATTACTTAAATAATTGAAGTTTTGTCTGAGTTATTCATGAAAACAAACAAATGAAATACGTATTAGACTTGTGTGTTATACATGTAATTCTTACAAATAGATTGCTTTGACGCATGAAACTGAACTTTGTTTACCTTTACCATGTTAGTTATACTTTGAAGCTGATAGCTGTTACATCTTAAGTATTCTATTGGAACTTGAATGTATAATGCAAGATGAAAATCAATTTTCGAATATGTCATTATGCTTTTAACTGCTAGGTTTCTTATGAGTCAATATTCAATTTAACAAACTTATGAAGTTATGATAATTTTTCAAGTACCAGGCTGTTTGGTGACAATGCTTAATTGAGTATCATTTGTAAAGTGTTAAGTAATTAAGTTAAATCAATTGACGAGACAGTTGATTCATACCATTACTACTAATGATTTCTAATTCTATCTATCTGGGAATATGCACAACAATCTGAAATAGTTCCTTAGGAAAATGGACAAAAATCTATCACCTTTTCATTAAAATACATCACCAACGTCATACAATAATGGTTTACGACTTGTTTGAACTCATTCTTGTGATGCAAGATGAACCAATGGTATTTCATTCTATGTTGAGCAATTAAAAACATCAATGATTCGTTCAATGACATGCTATAGGTTTTCGGTGTGTCCCACCAATAATCGTCGGAAAGTACATGTATTGATCTCGTTATTCTCTACAGATTGCTTTAGTTTATACGAAATCAAGCAAAGAACAAGGTAATTGAAGTTCACTTAGTTCAATAATAGTTTATAACGCAATGTGTTGAAGGATCTTTGTGGGCATTTACGATTGTATTATTACTTTGACGATAACCTGAAGATTGATTAGTCGTGTATCATTTGATGATACTCTTCATACACAGTTACTTTTTGTAGGATATACTGAGATTTAATCGATGTTGATAGTATAAAACTGCACGTAACCAAACTATATGAGGACAACAGTTTACTGATTATGATTTAATAAGTGAACAAAAAAGTCTGAATAAAATATATGTTCATTTCATCTAAAGGTAATCCGTAAGCTGTCTGAAATGCTTATATATATATACTAATGTATTTAACGTTCGTTTTGACTAATAGAAGATTGTTTACAATTTATGACAGATAAATGGAATGTTTTTGAAAGGTAGAAAAACTAATTACTTGTAGTTTTTGAAAATCCATCTGTTAATATGACTTATTAAGTAGTTGAATTGGAATGTTTTTGGTAATAATATTTATCAATTAAAAGATGGCATATTAGTGAACTTCAATTGATCATGATTTAAATTATAGGTGAACATTATTTAGAAGTTCTAGAATAACATTTGATAGACGACGACTTTCTAATGGCTTTCATCAAATCCACCATTAAGAAGTATTAATTAATCAGTCAGGAAAACTAGAGACCAGGATATATATGATCAACTCATGTTGCCACACCAAACTAATTTACTGAGATGAAATTATCAAGACAAATGCCAGAGTAGTGGAAGTATTAATAATATTCGTGGTCATAGGGAAGATTAGGCATAGACAATATGATTGGAGAAAGAATTAATTAGCAAAATGAAAAGTTCAAAATTGTAACCGATTATGGATAATGTCACCCACGATTTCCAACCATCGATTACTATCATCTCACGGACCTCAACCTGGCATTCTGCACATACCAGCATATTTTTGTTTAACAGATAGTTACTTTACGGCTCTATGACAGCTCTTAAATTAGGTGCCATTAGATTTTTTTCAACATATTTCTAGATCAGCAAACATCCCGCACTGAGGTAGGCAGTGGTTGGGAAAATATGATACATATCCTAACCACTTCAGTCGACGTACCATCAATACATAGTATCTTGAGGCTAACCTCATCACTACTCAGCCTTTTTACAGTTAATTATTTAGAGATTAAAAAATACCAAACATATAACAACAAAATAAGAACGAACTCACTAACCTGCAATATCGATTGCAACAACTCCATGTGGTTGATAATTTTTAGCTAAGTCTAATGTTTCTTTAGCTGTCTCGGGCATATGTCTCATAATTGATAAAATAGAACGAACTTCTATCCTGTGCTTTTTGCTGGCTCTATTAAGTGCATCCAAAATTGTTTTTAATACCTCTTCTGCGCTGCATTTAGAATCAGTTAATATAAATGGACAATATCTTGTTTCCACATAACATAAACCACCGCGTTTTACACAATCTTCGACAAACTCTTCACAAATACGTGCCAAAACCTCCTAATTAAATAAAGTTAGTGTAGATAGAAAGGGATAGATGGTAAAATAGAAAAGAAAAAAAACTAATTAGCATTATTAAACATTTAAACAATGTGAATTAATAACAAAATAATGATATATTTGTGATATCCCAATGAGTATAAATTTGACGTTTCTTGACTCATTTCTTTAGAGCGAATAAATAAAATTAGATTTTGCACTGTCTCCTTTTCGATATTCAGGACTGTGACTGATAAGTTTCTGGTGGTACATGTGCATCCTGAATACATGTATTGATGCAACATTTTAGTTACGCGTGCAAAGTATATTTCGATTGTAGCTAACAATGGAATACAAGAAACATCTTTCGTTCTGCTTGATACTCATCGACTACATGTATTTGCATCATGTGGTCGATGTTCGCACTAAGGACTAAATTCAATACCAATTGCTTTGAACACAAATAAGTTATTAACTGAGTTCAGATAGATAACAATTTATTCATTGGGTACGAAATTAATTATATGAATTTATATCTTCCCATTACAAGCAAATAATCATACGAGAAATATTAACTTCTCAAAGTTACCTTATACTGAACAAATGTTGAGTGAACGACAGGAAACCCTAAACCTGAGTATTGTGTTATTTGGAACTCGTCAGTAGTGCACTTATGATCGTGAGGAAACTAGTGTTCACTAAAGGATTTAAACCTAGTTTCACAGTCTAAGAAGTTTCCACTGAGTTATTCAGGCTCCAAACGTCTAGAATCTCAAAGTAGTGCACATTTTAAGTGACTTAGATTTGCAGCAGCATTACAAGTTGATCCACAGAATAAGATCAGAAATGTGAGCGTCAGACAAACATGAAATTGATCAACACTAAGTGATCAATTGACCGTAAATATAAAAAAATGCCGGTTTTTAACGATACTACAAAGATGACCTTATATATACATCAACTTCAATCTATAAACCTCATAGAATAAATGATTATGAACGTGCAAGCATTTAGTCTAGTGAATCACATTTTTTATTTCGGTCATTCGTGATTTCATTCCCATTTCTTTTTAGTCTGATCGCAGTAGGATTAATAACCAATACCAATATAATTTACAAAAAAATCACTTTAAATATTAATCCGTGAAAAAATTTCTTTAACATCATTAGAAAATCAATGTTATAACTGCAACTTTCTGAATGATGTTATAGTCGAGGTCTCATCAATAAAATTTACACTGAATAACATTTACGTTTTTATTCAAGTCAATTATAAGAATATTAAAACATTTAAAGAAATTCTTGTTTATTAAAATGTTTTGAAATGATACCAAATAAAACTAGCTTTTTATGCTAAATATGAAAAGAATAATAGAAATTTGTATATATTGTTTCCTTACCCAGATATTATTAATAACGTGGCTTATGAATAGTTAATAACCATGTTTTAACAAATTGTTGAGCTGAAATATGATTTCGATTCACTCCTCATCAAACTTATGACAAAGTAGATAAAACACAGCACCATATAAAAAATATTTGCTCTTAATTCATTAAAACATGAGTTTGTTGTTACCAACAGTAGTTTGAATGTTAGTGTAAGTGAGAACTATCAAGTTTGAAGTATCCAAAACTAATTGTTTAGATGTTAAGTGGTTCCAGATAGCTAGCAAGGGACTGATCCTAGATGTTTTACCAATTCATACTCTTCATTAAGGCATACTTGCAGTCTTGAGGGGACTGATTATCTCTATGAAATCGAAATGAGCGCTATCCGGATTTACAGTGTGAGATTTTACAATTCAGTTGTTTGATCTATTCACTGGTAAAGTCTCTAACTGTGAAGCTGGGTGACGCTGGTTCAAATCACATAGAAAGTATCAGTTTACTCAAGACCGTAGGTAGGGCTTGCTAACGAGTGTTGAATAGTAGAAATCAAGGTTTAGAGGTTTTGCCGAGTACCTCCAACCACATAATATTTCGACATAGTGCATCAATGTTTTATGACTTAGACTAACGGCTTTATCGCAAACTGACAAGCCAAATTCGATCAACATTAAAAGGATGACAGGAATATGAGATAGCTTACTACAGAGTGGTAAGTTAATCGTAAACCAGTTGCTTATTTTACAAACTAACGAGTAGGGAGACAAAAGTGGTAAAAATTCTCATAAAATACATTTAATATCATTTGAATGATAAATTTTAACCCGGCATTAGACTTTCGTGTTTTGTTTTCACATTAATTAAAATAACTATAGCAAGCTAGTACATTCACAATTTCAAATTAGTTTCAGAAAATTTGCATTCATTTCTTGAATCACAGAAATTTTATTTTCAAGGAACAAATATACTTTTTCAGTCTCATTTTTCTGCAAGTTTGCAACCATTTAAAAACTAAATCATGGTACAATGTTTTTAATTAAAAGTAGTATACAACTTGAGCATTTCTCTGACATTATTTTATTATTGCTATTCATATTATTAAGGCATCAAAAGTTAACATCTGCACATCTGCAAATGAATGAACTCTTTACCAACCACGTGAGGATTTCATATTACATAAACACCATTTTCTTGGTTTGTCCATAAATTATGGTCTCCCTCTAGTTACTTGTTTTGGATGAATTCCCTGAAGTTCGCATCTGATGCTGAGCATCACGAGAAACATGGTTTGATCTTGTTCATAAATTACACATAAAAAACTTAAACTCAGAAAACAATCATTATAGGTGTAAACGATATTTTACATCAGCGTACGTTTTAGTTTTGTTATTGCTGTGATCATTCATTATTCAAACCCAACTTAATAAAGATGAAAATGCATATGAACCGGGAGGGAATAATACAAATCGCTAATAAGACATAAAAATCAGAAGCTAAAATAGTGTTAAACTTAATATACAAGTCAGGTGTTTTATTCATGCTACTGGTCACAAAAATGTCTGTATTTTATTCACAACCCTGTTTGTGATATGCCGTTTTTAACTTTCAATGTTATCTGTTACTAGACTAATATTGATTCTACTTTTGTAGATCGCTCAAGTTGATGTTTATTATATATATTATCTAACCACATTAGCTAACGGCACTCAAAACGTTTGGGTCACAAAAAATTTATATTGAGCAAACGGTCACGTTTCTCTAAGCACTATGGTTGTCCGTTTAGCCGTATGGAATATTACGAGCAGGATTTATGATGAAATAGTCATTCAGCAGACAATGAGAATGTGGTTATTTATGAGGAAGATATGATACTTTACAGATTGACTTGAAACAAAGCAGTTGACATCTATAGTATGCAGCTGATATTGCGTAGTGTAGTAAAGTATAAATATGGCAAATAAACTTCAAGTATTAACTATTTTCTAAATTAAAATAGTTTTCGTGGCAGGAGGGTATATACAACTTGAAATTAAGCTATGTTGTGGGTTGTGTTGGTTTAGTCCTTGAAGATGAGTTTTGTGATTAAGTTCTATCTCAAATTACAAGTATGACTGAGCAACCGAGAAACGGTCCTTCATTTGACCCAATTTTTATTGTTAATCTGTAACGCCAATTATTAATCAAACAATTTACTTCTATCCCGTTCCCGGTAATATCAGTACATAATTGGGTTTAATGGTGTACTTTGTCGTGCCTCTAAAGATGGCAACACCGAACGTTTCATGTTTAGTTTTGCTCAGTATTAATGAAATCTTGCGTGACTCAAAAATGTTCATTATTGGCACAATAATGCACCTAAAGGGCACTGTATAATTCTCAACCATATTTTTGGATCATTGTTAATAGCTTACATAAACCGTTTCCGATTCGTTTATGTTACAGTTAACATCGTTTTGTATGGGTCTGAGACACTTGAATGATGTATACTTTATTTTTTGGTCATTTTGAGTATATAAATAAACACTTGATTCCTGATTTAACGATACATTGTGCTGGCTAGATGATTCTACCAGTCTTAACTGTATTAAACACAACATTTCCTAAACTCCCTCTAACTCTTGGCTTTGTACTGGAAAACGAAAGGTGGACCAACAGTGTATCGGATATTAAGAATCATGAAGTGACTTCGGAAGATAACGAATTGTAGTCACATCAGTCACTCAAGAAGCCAAAAATATGATGCTTTAAAATTTTAGGAAAAGCATGATAAATGTTGCTCTTTGTTCTAACACCATATACTAAGGTGATTAACTTCTATATCTAAACTGTTTACTTCTGCCTTGTATGGATTACAAAACTATCTTACTTTTATCTGATATTAGTCAGCTATTTAACATAGAGCCTATGACTTAAATGGATTGGTTAGAGCTACTACGCCGTACCACAGAGAAATGTCAGAAAATGATACATAATGACAGCATTAGTGGGAGTACAAACGACTAGGTGTGCAAGATCGGATCTGAGAAAATATGGTTTCGCGGAAAAGAAAAGATTCTCAATACATTCTGGGAATTGATATATCAAACTGGTTTCATTTCAAACTCAAAAAGCATCATAACTAGTGGGACACAACTATTTTATTAACTATAAGTAATTTATCTTTGCTTACCTTTTTACCGGCAACTAATGGTATAATTATCTCGAATGCTTTCAGAAAATCTTTCAGACTGTGAGGCTTTCTAGGCATTAGCTTTCCCTTAAGTTCTTCTAAATTTTGAAACAAGACTTTGGATTTTTGATCATTCGATAGCTCAAATAGTGTTTCTGGCCTAATAGCACCATCCAGATGAACATGCAAGTCTACTCCATATGAATCCAAAGGGAGTCGCATTTAAAAGCTGTGCAAATTCCAATCTTCGGTAGATCTTAGTCTAGTGTGAAAAAGTAAGCAGATAACTTAGTATGTACATAATATGAGCTAATATTTATTAATGAAAGCACTCAAAAAGAAAGATACAACACGGAATTATATCGAAACAATTTAGCAGTGAAGAATCTCACTTGGCAAAGTAGAGTCACCAGTGAGCGAAAAATGGTGCGTACAAATATGTGTTAAAAATACAGCTTATATTTCCGATACATAAAAACAAAAATGACCTTGACTGGGTTCATACATATATCTACATTTTCATGTCACACTGTCACACTTATCTTGTAGCATTAAACATATCATGAGGTAAAAGGCTGAAGTGAAACAGAGATTATCAGTTTATGATAATAAAGCACTTAAGGATAAGTGATTTACTACCAGGGCGATTCTGAGCACATTGGTAAAGATTCCCGTCAGTGCCAGCAGTGTTTTAATTTGTTGTTTGCATTCCAGTACTCAAGACCTCGTGAGTTAAATAAATATTTAAACATTTTGATTAAAAAAATTTATTCCTGCCTATAAAATAATTTAATCAGTTATGAACTGAACAGAAAACGTTCTCACTTAGCAAACTCCTGTTTTCGGCTGTAATAGATTTCTCAAGATAGGCACCTGAGTGCATAAAAAAAAGAAATGAAATAACTATTGGTAAAGCAACATGCTATACTTTTTATAGCCTTTTTAAACAGATTTGTTTTTTCTCCTAATGGATTTTAGATTACTTGCTTGTACCTCTAATTTCAGAATGTTCCATCTAAGAATTATGATGGATTTAAACTAAAAAAAAATAATCCAGAGAATGTTAAAAGGTGTAAAGGGTATTTAAAACCGCAAAAAAGTTGCGTCGAGTCACCTAAGGATGCCACAGGTATTCGGAGTTTGACAACGCTTTAACCAGTAACACCTAATACGAAGCGCACCCACCAAGTAAAATCAAAAGACAGAAGTGAGGAGATCGAAGATATATTTGATAAGCTATCAATATATCGAGGATCGTTTTCACTAATCTGGCTAGCGATTGCGGCAGATGTTGAGCACGGCGTTCCCACACGTGATCTGGTGCGGATGCTTGACCGAGCGCCTTCAGCTAGATGAGTCCACTAAAACTGTGGTCAGCATCCAATGTCGAAAACTTACAGAGATATTTGATTTTGGGGAATTATTTACCGCTACAGATCACTCCCCCCCTAGTGTGGTAGTGATGACCCTAAGACGTGGCGAGCCAGAAGTTTAAACCCAACGAGTTTTTCGTTGGTAAACACTCTTCTGATAGCTTGCTAGTCTTAGCAGCGTCTGATCGTCTTTCCTTACTATAATGGACCATGAAGTACAATATAGTAAAAAAAAGGTACAATGCAGATTTTCGTTTCTCGCAACTTCATCGTTCTTTTCATCGTCATTTCCAGTCGTCCTGGAAAAGAAAAAAAATATGTAAGTGCATGTCCGAATACACGCGTACGCGCGTGAAAACACGAAACGAGCGAAGAAAAAGGAAAACAAACTCATGCTCACGTAATAGTGTAAAAAAATGCCGGACAGCACAATACATAGCTAGGAGATCCCTACCGAATGTGCTGTGCCTCGATTCAGTGTCTAGCAACCGTCTAGAGAAAAATGCCGAAGGTTGCCAGGAGTGATTAACCCATTGTTGTAGGACTCCTCCGATCGCTGAGTCGGATGCGTCTACTGCGATACTAATGGACGCTTCAGTGTCCTGTAGAGCAAGCATGGTTGCTTGAGCGATCAGTTCCTTAACCGTGGGGAATGCTTTTCGCGCGATGTCATCCAGATTGATGGATTTGGTATTTCCACGAAGTTGATCGGTAAGAGGTCTCATAATTAAGGCGCATTCGGGAATGAACCGTCTATAAAAACTTACCAGACCGTTAAACGTGCGCAATTGCTTGATGGTGGTCGGTTCTGGGTAATCCAGAATGGCCGCCACTTTTGTTCTAAGGGGTCGAATGCCATGCGCATCTATGGTGTGTCCTAAGAAGTCTAAGGATTCGGTTCCGATTTGGCATTTCTGAATGTTTACGGTAATGCCATGTTTTTGTAGTCGGTCGAAAACAAGGTCCAGATGCTGGAGATGTGATTCTTTGTCCGGACTTGCTATTAGACAGTCATCAACGTATGCATGTACGAAGTTGAGACCTCGAAAAACGTCATCTATGAACCTTTGGAAAGTCTGTGCCGCGTTTCTTAGACCGAAAGGCATAGAGTCCGAAGGGCGTTATAATAGCGGTTTTTGGAATGTCTTCAGTGGCCATAGAATTTGGTTATAAGCTTTTACCAAGTCGATTTTTGAAAAGACAGTTGCACCTTTCAAGTTAGCTGTCAAATCGTGAATGTGGGGCAACGGGTAACGATCGGGAATGGTTTTTGCATTCAATCTCCGATAGTCACCAGTTGGACGCCAATCGTTGCTGTCCTTTTTAGGGACCATGTGCAACGGAGATGCCCATGGGCTATTTGACGGTCGTATGATTCCTAAGTTTATCATATGGTCGAATTCGTTTTTCGCCAACCTTAACTTTTCGGGGGCCAGTCGGCATGCTTTCGAGAAGACAGGTGGTCCTGTAGTCGTGATGTTGTGTGTAACATTGCTGGTTACACACGGCAATTTCGGTTGCGGTTGGTAAATGCCAGAATATTTATCGAGTAGTGGTTGGTAGAAGGGGTCTATAGTGTGCTTAATAGTGACTGGAGATAACCTGCAACCAGGAAAAGAAGTCAGGCAAACAGATAAATTAGTGTTTCCGTCTACTAGCCTCCGTTTGCGCGTATCGATAATTAAGTTGTGGTGTTGTAGAAGGCTCATACCAATGATTGGCATAGAAACATCTGCAACAACAAAGATCCAGTGAATGGGTTTGCGTAAACCCACGTTAAGATAAACATACCTTTTGCCATACGTAGCGATAGGCTTTCCGTTTGCCGCCTGTAGATTTGAAACGGGCTCGTGTAGCCGGTCGTTGGAATTCGCTGGGAGAACGCTAACCTCTGCGCCAGTATCTACGAGGTAGCAAACTCTCGTTATCACATCAGTGACATATAAAAGACGGCTATGTTCGCCGGCTAAGGTCGCCGTTAACGCGTGCCGGCTTGGAAGTTTCCCGAAACGTTCTTTGCGTCGACCGATTTCGCGTTGGGAAAATTGCAGGGTTTTCTGCAATTTCTGGAGGACTTTCCGTACTGGTTATGGTACCAGCACCAATCAGGATCATCCGTCTCTCGAGTTCTAGATACAGATAGCCTACGTGATGTGCTTCTCCGCGGGGTAAGTGATCGTTTACGGTCGTCACAGAGTTTGAGATAACGCGTAAGTGTATGACATAACTGTGTCATGTCATTCTGGGTCGATTGAGGCTTTTCTTTGACTGAAAAAACCTCGGCATTAGAAGATCTAGTGATTTCGAGAATGCGGTCGGCAGATGAAGCTAGCTAGTCTACGGCGTTGTTTTGGAACGAGACCAAAACAGCTTGCATCTGTTGAGGAAGTTTGGATAAGATAAATTGTTTGAATAGGCCGTCATCGAAGGTTCTTTGGCCAATGACTTCTCGCATTCTTTGCAACATGTCTGTGGCAGAACCGTGTTGCAGGTCGATGTTGTTGAGGAGTTGGTCTAACCTCTGTCGATCAGTTAGATCTCCGCGTTTAAGGATGGCATGTTTCAGGGTTTGGTATGGATCAGAAACATCACTAGTAAACATACTAGGTGTTACGTACCTGTTAAATTCGCGCGGTAGTGCCTTGACTACTGCGAGGAATTGTGTACGTGTATCGTTCACACCGCGCTCGAAGAAGTCGGCTTCTGCGCAACAAAACCAGGCTTCGATGTTGTCTGGCCAGAAAGGCATAAGTTGGAAAGAAGGTGGGGACACAGTCTTTAACTTAAATACTTTAGGTGTCTGTTCAGTCATAGTAATATATCAAGTACGAAAAGTGAACGAGTGGGATATATATACAAACCCAGAAACACGGGAAAAAAATATCACAATGTTAAAGAAAAAGATTGAAATAAGACAATGATATATAAAATCACAAAAAGGAACAGACTCACAGTTTACAATATGGTGTACCAGATCACGTTGGGCTCACCAATAAAGATGCCACAGGTATTCGGAGTTTGACAACGCTTTAACCAGTAACACCTAATACGAAGCGCACCCACCAAGTAAAATCAAAAGACAGAAGTGAGGAGATCGAAGATATATTTGATAAGCTATCAATATATCGAGGATCGTTTTCACTAATCTGGCTAGCGATTGCGGCAGATGTTGAGCACGGCGTTCCCACACGTGATCTGGTGCGGATGCTTGACCGAGCGCCTTCAGCTAGATGAGTCCACTAAAACTGTGGTCAGCATCCAATGTCGAAAACTTACAGAGATATTTGATTTTGGGGAATTATTTACCGCTACAGATCACTCCCCCCCTAGTGTGGTAGTGATGACCCTAAGACGTGGCGAGCCAGAAGTTTAAACCCAACGAGTTTTTCGTTGGTAAACACTCTTCTGATAGCTTGCTAGTCTTAGCAGCGTCTGATCGTCTTTCCTTACTATAATGGACCATGAAGTACAATATAGTAAAAAAAAGGTACAATGCAGATTTTCGTTTCTCGCAACTTCATCGTTCTTTTCATCGTCATTTCCAGTCGTCCTGGAAAAGAAAAAAAATATGTAAGTGCATGTCCGAATACACGCGTACGCGCGTGAAAACACGAAACGGGCGAAGAAAAAGGAAAACAAACTCATGCTCACGTAATAGTGTAAAAAATTTTTATAATATCGTTATTTTTTGTTTTTTCTTTTTTGAAATAAAAAAGATAAAAAAAATATATAAGCATATTAAATTCGGGTTTTTAAAAAAAAATTATATATAGTACCAGGGAAAATCGAGGGGATATAAAATGTTAACTTGTGTCTTACGTGCAGTAATCGTTCAAGTGTTCTGGAAATCTTACTCTTCTTCCAGAACGCGTTGTTTTGAGTTTATTTTCGGATACTGTCGAAGTATCAACGTGTGTGTCTGCTGTCGATTGAGGTATTATAAGTGCAGGAGTTGTGTCGTGCGATTGTATTGAAGGAAAATCGACGTGAATAGGATTTCCTTCTAAATACGCTGCTTTGAGGCGATCGATACTGATGCTTTCGTTGGTTCCG